TAATATGTATATACATAAAAAAAAAAAAAAAAAAAAGAAAGAAATAAAAAATTAAAAAAAAACAAAAAAGGAGGAAAGAAAGCTCGCGTATACGCTTAAACGAATTTTTTTTTTTTCTAAAAAAATATCATCTATATAAGTGCAATATATAAATTCTATATTATACTGTTTTAAAAACAGAGTGAAAGGGAGACAGAGAGAAAAGTAGAGATAGAAAGTGAGCGAAAGAAAAAAAGAAAATAGAATTGTACTGATTATACATATTTCTTTACGCAATGAATTTTCCGCGTTTCAACGTTTTACGTTGCTGCAGAATAATCATCGAGGATTCCTAGCGAGGAAAAGATCGTCTCCGCGGATGAATAATCCCTTGAGACTGTGACAGATCACACCGATCGAAACAAAAGATAAATTTCGACATCGTGCGATATGTTTTGAAATAAATGATCGATGTACAATATATAATCTAACGATTAATCTTTCGGCATAAATCGCAAATATGTAAAATGTTTTTAGCACTCAAAGGATTTAAGGCTCCCGTTGCAAAAGTGTATTTTCATACAATCGTTGAAATATACGCTCGTGCAATATTTGTTTGAAAACGAACAACCGCACGAGAAACATATCTATTCTCGAAGGACTGTTACTCTGGGATCGCTATACTGACGGGTCTACGGGTGAATATTAATATTGTCGCTCTTTACGTGCTACCATACAGACACATGCGGCAGAAAATAGTCTAGGCATTCTTTTCGCGATACACCCTACATCGTTATTCAAAAGGAACTTCGATTGAACTTTATTACACGTTTCTTTCTTTCTTTCTTTCTTTCTTTCTTTCTTTCTTTCATTCATTTCTCTTCTTCCTTTTTGTTTTTCCCTTTCTTCTTTGTTTGTTCCTTGTCACGAAGGCCAAACACGATCAATAATCGCTACCGACTTTGGATTAAGCGAACCAATTTTGAAGTAACGAAGAACCGTATATCGCTAGGTACTAACTCTTAAGAAGGAATCGTTCTCTATAGTTCGACGCACTCTGTTCGTTTCATTCGGAAAATATACGCGGCTTGCGTTGCTTTCGTGCAACGGGATAGAAATCGAGCCGGATCCCGGAGGAAGGCAGGATCACCGAACACAAATCCTCGCCTCGCGAGGTTTTCGTCGACAATGTATGCCGTTTAGATCCGTTATATTAACCCTCGTTTACTCGCGGCCCAGTTTTGCCCAACGTTGGACGCAACTCCTCAACCTATGCCACGATGATCGACGATCGTACACGCGAGATTGTCTAAAGCTACAATGAATGGCGCGGGCTGGGTGGAGCGCCACGGAACGGAACGAAGGGCAAAACTGTCGATGATATCACGACGGAGAAAATAATTACATGGACAACGCGTTTCACCATCCTCTTCTTCTACTTCAAATGAAAATTCGTAAGGAAGCGAGTAAACACGTTCGAGTAGAATCTTCGAGGGCACAGATCGGATCTGTAGTTAGCGCTCGGTGCACGGGGATTTGCCGGTTGCAGATAAGGCCTGAATAGTTAGGGTTTGCTGTTGTCATTGTTCAACGACAACGGATCGGTGATCTTTTGCTGCTGCTGTTGCTGTTGTTGCGTCACCTCGCTCACAGCGCCACCACTCATCAGTTTCGCATTGTTGTTCTCCGTGTTCGAGACTTTCGCGTACTCCCGCTTGCGAGGCATGCTCTCCGTCTTTACGATCGTGATGTCTGGATTGTTCTCGAGCACAGAGGTCGCTGGTTTCGGGACGGGCGTCGGCACCTCGATGTAACCGCCTCCTTCTCTCTTGATAGGTGTCGAGGTGGTAGGTGTCGCTGTGGTCGCCGCGTTCGCGTTGATCTTTTGCAAGATGTCGTTCACGGACTCATTGTTCTCGGCCGTCTCGTTGTTCCCGTCGATCGCGCCCGACGCAACGCTCAAGTCGCCGGCCAACGAAATTCTGTCCGGGCCTTGTAGCGTCGACAGATAGGTTGCCAACGTATGGACGGTCACATTAAGGAACTCGGCTGCACGGAACAACGTGATCTCCTTTCTTCGTAGTTTGGCTAACACCTCCGCCGGCCCCGGCTCTGACCAAAAGTCCCTTACTCTGCGAACAAATTCGTCAACCGTTTTAACCATCTTCTATTTTTCTTCTCGAATGGAAAATAGATGAGACCGATGAAAGCGGGTTAATGCACGATTTCACCTAAAATATTTTATATATATATATCCAGGAAAAATTTTCCAAGCTTTTCTCCAAGCTCTCTTTTCTCTCACGTTTCGAAAAACAAATTGGAAACTTGACTGTTGTGCAACAAGTCAAAAGTGGCGATTAAAAATAATCGTCGAGTTAATCGTCGCTCCATATTATTACCTGTACGGATGTTTAAGGCAACCATAACTGTCGCGATATCTGCCGTAGAGGGTTCCGTAGGACACGCCGAGTATCTCGGCGGCAGTCTTCATTTCCAGTTCTTTGCTCTTAATGGCGTCCATAACGCGTCGCGTGAACGGCTCCTCCCAGAACTCTTGGCGGCGTCCCGTCGTCAGGTAATCGTTCATCTTCACGACGTCTCGGAATTGCTCGGGGATCGATGGGTTCGTGGCGTTGGAATTCGAGGGAGTGGTAGGCGCTGCAGCAAAATCAAACCACGTTAAATTCTTCGCGCCTACCGCAACAGCCTGCGCACCTTTGCATAGCTGTCTGTTCTGTGTGTCGTGTATCTCATCATCATCATCATCATCATCATCATCATCATCATCATCATCATCATCATCATCATCCTCCGTTGTAACGCCTAATCACGACTACTTTGGTATCGATCGACCTTTGTGTGTCACGTACCTTTCTTTTCCTGGTCGGACGCGTTGTCATCCTTGGACATGTACGATAGCTGCAAAAAAGGATGGGAAAAAAAAAAAGAAACGATTTGTCAACAACGATGGCAAATTATTGATCAAGTTGATTTATCAAAGATTGAAGATAGGTGAGTGAATGTAGGGTATCCTTACCACCGGCAGTGGCGTTTCGTTATTTTCGTTCATCATCATTTCGTCGTCCCAACTCTCGTGGTCACCGCCTTCGCTCATCATTTCCTCCTGGGAAATCGAGGAGGTTTGAACAGGCGCGTCAAAGAAATCTCTCGGTGACTGTCGATTGCGATCGGTGTTGCATCGAGAAGGATTAACGGCGAAAACAAAAAATTGAACAGTTGATAATAATAAAAACGATCCTTGTCAAATCTCGTTCATGAGATTCGTAATTTCATTATGGATATATATATATATATATGTATATTATATTATGTGCATAGTACAAGTTTTGTAATATATTACAAAAGGTGAATGCCCATAAATAATGGTTATTATTTATAGGAATTATTTATAATAAATTTTTAAAACGAAGTCAAAGTGTGCCACCAACAATTTATAGCGAGGATTAAACAAATAAATAGATACACAAGCAATGATGTAGGAAAAAATTTATCTGGCATTAATATATCATCGCATCTACTATATTCTTCTGAATCAAACACCAATTGATTACCTTTTATTGACCGAATAATTCATAAAAATGTCGAAATCTTTTAAAATGTGACGTTTCTGATCGAGTAAATTACCATTTAGAAAGAGGATAGTTTGAAAATTGAACCTTGAAAAAATAAGAGATATGAATAAAAAAATAAACACAAGTATTATTATTATTATTATTATTATTATTATTATTGTTAATCTAAGCTAGATTTCTAGAATAGAAGTTAGTTAAGCGCAAGTTACTAAGAGTCAAAGATATTAGATAAACAGAGATAAATAGAGACAGAAAAGAAGAAGAAATTGTCTTTGATCTTTCAATCGACAATCACTAGCAGAGATATTACGATAAATGAAACAGCTGAACCATACTTGACGTACATTTCCGGTGATACATGTGATTTTCGGTGTGAAGACATCATGAGACGAGGGTGGATCGTCCAGAGGCGGGCGCCCTCTGCGTCTCTGCTTTGGAGGTGGCGGTTCGTCGGCGTCTCCTTCCCTGAGGACCGTCTCGACACCTGGAGTCGCCGCCCCAGGACTGTGACCGCTATTTCCTAGATCATTTTGCGTCGAATCGCTACGCCAGCTTACCTCGGCCAAACCCTTGATGTGCAAATCCTCCGCGGTTTTCAACAGGGACGACAATCTCGTCTGAAACATCCAACGCACGACGACGACGACTTTAATCAATCCGGCAAACAAAACAAAGACGCGAAGAATTTCCTCCTTTCACGGATCTCTTTGTCCCTTAACCCCTTCGAGAATTGCAAAATCGTCTCCTTCTTCCTCGTTTTCGGGCGAGATTTTTCTTCTTCTTCTTCTTCTTCGAATATTATTTATTTAAGGTAATTCCGAGAAAGATGGACCACTTATCTTTTTAAGATCTCCGAGAAAATGTAAATAGGAATTAATATTCGTTACTCGTAGTTTAAAGTTTCTGGTCTAATGGATGTTGTCGATCGTGCTCAAAGAAATTGTGGAATTTGCCACGGTGTAATTAAACAGAAAAATATTTATATTTCAATGGCGCGCGAGAAAGAATAAAAATAATGATCAAAACTGCGATCTTTTCGTTAATTGTCGAGGCAACATTAACGGCAAGAAAATAATACGAGATAATTGCATAGTAAAAAGTTGTTTTCGTGTTACATTATTCTTCAAAGAATTAAATAAATCATGAATTGTCATATCCGCATTGAGTAAATTGTAGAATAGTAAAACGTGCATAAGCCGTTTTATAACATCATGCTTTATTGTATATTATATTACACAGGTTTCCTTTAAATAACTCATATCTTTTATAAAAATCCTTTTTCTTTACTTTACTCGTACATACGTGTGCTGGACAAAATGCTGGACAAAATACTTTTTACAACGAATTTTACAATTTGAAATATTCGACAAACAAATGTGGATTAAAAAAAAAAATAAAAAGATCAACCATTTGCAAATTGTTTTTCATTAAATTTGGACGTATATTTATAATTTAGTTTATCGAGCGATGTAATAAAGGAGTAGCCAGACCAGAAAGAATCGTATCAGGGACAAAGAGGATCGAAATTCGCGTAGCAAGTGGAAAGTAGATTTTTTCTATTTTTTTTTTTTTTTTTTTTGTCAAGCTGGGATACAGCTATATCCTCGATATCCTCCGACTAATCAAGGTAAGTAGCGAATTCCCTCTCGTTTCCGTCGACATTAGCCCGAGTGGTTTAACCATTCCTGGCAAGAGTTACCAAGGCAAGGAAGACGGCGGCAATATTTCTAACCGATCCGCTTTCAATATTTCCGCTATGGAACGGGCATAAATGGTATAATATACGGGGCGCGACGGGTTTCAACGTTTTTGGCACGAGCTCGAGTCGAGTCAGGCGATTCCTTGTTCCCCTCCCCCTCCCCCGAGTGGAACATTCGATTCCTCTTGTATACTATTACACAGCATGGATACCATTATACATCGATGGAAGAGCGAGAAGTCGATGCTGTAAGAAATTCGAGGCGGAGCTAAGTAAATCTAATTATTCTCTGACAGCCCGTAGGAAAAAGCCGGAGGAAAAAGTGATCACGTGGCGGAGAGGTAAAAATTAGTAATTCCATTAATCCTGTCCGCTTCAATTTGCGCGAGCATACTCGTAGCGACCGAATCTCTATTCGATTCGCCGGGATTCGAGTAATGAATCGGATCGTCGCTGCCCACGGAGAAAGATACAGGATAGACGATATAAAAAGAAGGAGAGAGAGAGAGAGAAGAAAAAAAAAAAAATTCGATATATCTGAAATCGCGTATCGGCGCGGTATAGGGTTCGATTACTATTTGCCAATTTTCACCGTAATAATAGCCGAACGACCGAGAGAATGCTAAATAATATAGAGAACTTTCTACACAAACGATTCTCCGCGGCTTTCTATCAGCCACGAATGGAATTGGAAAAATGCTTATGTGGGTCAGCGTCTCCGGCAGCCAGCGTACCGGGAATAATGTGTATTTCAGAAACAAACGTCACCACCATCCTCGTTGTCTTCGATCTTTGTCTGTGGCTCTGTCTTTCGTGTTTCTAACTTCGTGCGCAAGAAAACGAATGGAAAAAACAACAACGCGGCCTCCGACCTCGTTTAAATCCGATCGCCGAGCTTAAGAAAACTCTTAACCAAAGGCCACGATCGATCGAACACATCGACGGATCTTCGAGACGATACGCCGTGAACATATTTTCACCAGAGCCGGATTTTTCGCAGGCAAATCGTGCCCACCGCAGCGCCACCATGGAGAAAGCTCTCGTGAATCTAACTGCGCGCTTGATCACGACTAGAAACACGGAAGAATCGAGAGAGAGAGAGAGAGAGAGAGAGAACCCGTTGCTTGCTCTCGGGATTCTCTTCACAACCTGAATACGACGATTCTTGCACGTTTAAACGACACACGTTCGACTTCATATATTTCGTGAGTCATCCGAAACGGTATACCACGACATCTCTCAGGCTTCGTATGATACTCCTTGCTTTCGTAAGGGACGATGTCGAATTGTTGTAACAGCGAAAAGAAACTAGGTATCTGGTAACGAGAATAACAGTGTCGATTTTTGCGAGAACGTATCGATGAAATTTTTCGCTATTTGATTCGTTTATGACATAAATTTTGTTAGTTTTTTACGTGATTATTTGCGAGTAATAAAGTGATAGATTAATTATGCGATTCTATATTGAATTATTTCATCGCTATGCTTAGAGGTTATAAAATTCAATGGGTTCTTTGTTTAATGACAGATCTTTTTATAGAAGAAGATAATATGAATCTTGCATATGTATAAAAATTATCGTAATCGTATCGTATCGTATAATAATGGAAAATATGTAGTTCAAGATAAATATTGTTCTCAAAAATTGAGCGTATTGAAAATATTCCCAAATAAACAGAACTTGTTTATAACCTACAACGTAATAATATAACCTATAAAGTTCTTTTTTGTTATATATCAATTAATAAATTAAGAATCTTGCATCAAAGATTATATTTTTATAATTAAAAAGTTATTTCAACCATAAAAATTCAAAAATTGCAAGATTCAAACGAATCTTTATTGAAAACAAAAACTTTTTCGATCGTTAATTAACCACTGGTATAATAATGCTACCATTCCGATTTTTATCGATGGTTTTCTCCGGACGACAAAGTGGTTCTTCTCCCTTTTGTTCGATTACTCTTGATAACAATGAGCAAGAACAAAAAAAAAAAGAAAAAAGAAAAGAAAAGATAGGAGCAAAGAAAGAAACGATTGACAAAACAAATTGCATCTTTGCGAGGATTTTTGCCTGTGGATTAACGGGAAGTTCGAGTCGCTTTGAAGCGTGGTATGCTCGAAACATCGAAGAGCAAGAATCTTCAATTATTAATAAATTGAGGCCAGCCGCATTCCCGCCCTGTCCCCCGCGATATTTTTCCCTCCGTCAGCGAGACACAAGTGCCCTCATAAATGTCCACGATGTAAATAAGTCGTTCATCGTGTCTGAGAAGAGGCGAAAGAGTCTACGTTCCGCGGACTTTATTTCTTTAATCAGTTTTAATTTCGACGTTCGAACGGTTGGCCAGTCTCGTTTCTCGAAAGTCAACGCTTCAACAATGTCCTCCATCTAACTGTCTTTTCGATTCGCGTTCGGTATAAGGTAAGGTTAGACTTACGATAGGATCAAATATATGTTAATAAAGAATATTAATATACATTCGTAAGAAACTTTTCAAATGTTGAATTATTAGAAATTCTAGAAATGAAAACAAATATAAAAATTTCGATTCGAAATTTATTCATATTATTGAATTATAAAAGCTATTGAGAAATTTGTCGTTAGACGAAACGAGATGAAAAGAAATTGCTCTGTCTTCGTCGTTGTACCTGTATTTTCTTCTCGTCTTGTTTCATCTAAGACAAATTTAAATCTCGTCTTATAACTTAATAATAAATAAGACTTGATTGATATTTTTGTACATGAACTTTTATATTTGCTTTGATCTGTAAAATCGAAAATAATGAGACTAGTCGAAAAATGCGAAGTAATGATAATACGTAAGAGTGCAAATTTTAAAATTCTTTTTCCTCTAATCTTTGAAGAATTCGTATAATTTAATTTCAATGTACATTTCAATTTGAATTTTAATTATGGTATGAAAAAGTCTGGTAGTGCCAAACCAGGAAAGTAAAGAGCGTGGTTTTGTACAGAAATTCCTTTTTCAGGTAAAAACTGTTGCATTATATGCATCTGCACACATATCAGTAACATCGTTTTTTACTCTCCTGATTTAGCACCAACAGACTTTTTTTTTTGATTCCATAATTAAAATTGAAATTGAAAGATAATCTGATCTTGATATTTAACAAAATGTGACAAGTTAATTGAACATAATTCAAGCAGAACGATTTTTAAACTCTTTTAAAAAAAAATTAAATAACCGATGAAATAGATATGGTATTAAATTCTTCGAAGATTATTTTACAAGAATAGACAAAAATAGAAAATTTGCAGTTATTTTTTTATTTTTACTAGTCTTATTACTATTTTTTTTTACTACGTCCTATACGATATCGCAAGTAAGTTCGAATCTGATTGGATAGTTTCGAATCTTGTAGTAAGTACTTTAGAAATCTGAGATATTCGAACTTGGATGGATTAAAACTTGTGCCAAGTATTAAATTCACAAAATCTAGTGAAATTTAATGAAATACTTAATGAAAGGTTTATCCCGTAAGATTCGATCACGAAAAATGATATTTTCTTATTAAATCCTCGCAATTACGCAGGATGATTTCGAATTCTGAAATAGACACAATTTGTGACAGAATTCGAGTACGTGCAATGATTGTAAAAAGTATTTGCACGTGCAGTAGACATTCTCTTATCCCGTTCCTTCTCATTTTTTTTCCAGTCAAGTGTTTCATTATCACGTTCCATTTCATTTTTATAATATCAAACTTGAAACAAAATTTAATTACGCGAAATTTAATATATTATATTTACATTTAATTTAACAGCAATGTTTCGAATCCTAACTGTTTTTCCTTTTTTTTTACATTACTTAACCTCACTTTCTGGAATTTATATCTTTGAAATTACGGCGTAATAATTTATAATATAAATAATAATAATAATCGAGAAATACTTCGATGTTACAAACGAAAAGAAAGCGTGAATGAATCAAAATCGAAATTTCAAAATTAAAACTCGTCGAGCATAAATTATGGCTGAATAATAATACAGGTTGAAATTATTATTAAAAATAATTGTGAAAATCGAAATCGTGGAAAAACGGCACGGTTAAACGAACGCTATCAACCGAATCAAGGCAAATTTCGATTCGATAAATAAATTTTTTTTTAAATCGAATTCATCGCAAAAGTTTCGAAATCTATCCGTTCGATCGCCGCTATACACCACACCACTACTACACACCCATGCTTTATATTTGATCCCATCGTTGTGTATCAACCCGTTACAAAAAGTTACAGATCACTCACATGGTCGATGTTAATCTCTCCCTTGTACATGAACTCGACCAGCACTTTGATGTCTGAGAACTTGACGTCCCGCATTATGACAATGGGGTCCTTCTCCTCGTACTGGGACAAAATCGTGTCGAAGTACGTGCTGCACGCTGACAGAACCACCTGCGAAAAAACAAAAGCGAGAAGGGCGGCCGTTAATGAAGGAGCTAAACGATCCGTCGAAAACTTTTGACGCTTGCAAATCGACCATTAAACCGAGGCAAACCGGTTACAACACTGGCGTGGGGGACATGACCGACAAAACTCGTCCTTGACAAATATTCCTCGATGGGTATACGCTCGCTCTCACACGCGCGCGTATACACGCACACATATATAGATACATACACATATATATATATATATGTATATACGAGAAAATCAAGAACGTTGAAAATTGAGGACCCGACAGAGTTAATTCATAGGTGTGCGGATAAGGGCACGCGACGTTGTGTCGCTCTTCATTAATTACCCCGAAAACTGGCATGCCACACAACACGAGCCGTTATAGAGCCGTTATATGCCGCGCACACACACATGTTGGACACGAAGATATACACGAAGATCGTGGAGATGATCGAATTCTTAAGCGGTGCTTCCCGAACACCGCCGGATAAAATATGTATTTCCGCTTGGACGCCTGAGCCGGCTACTATGTGCAGATCTGTCATGAAAGTCAATGAAGCACTCGACGAGCATAGGCTACACACACTCTCGTTCTCTGACCGTTGTGATTCTTTTTTTTTTTTTCTTTTTTTCGTGCCTTGAAGCTTGTTACACACCTTTCTTCTTTCTTGGGGAGTCGATACGGGGAGGAGAAAGAAGAAGAAGAAGAAGAAGATTTCACTGCTCTCGAGTTGCACACGTGCTTGGAATATCACGTGGTGGGGGGAGGAACTAGGGGAGGTTAGGAATAAAATCTGGTAACTTTTGAAAATAAGATGATTTGTCCGTTGGATAAATTATTTCTTTCTTGTGTACGTTTCTTTTTTCATTCTTCGTATTGGAAAGGATATATATTGATATATAGAAGAGACAATAATATCGTAATAATTTTCAATACACGTTTATTTCTCCCTTGTCCAGGCAAAAGTAATTTTGATCGCGGTTCTAATATTATTTCCTAGCATCTGGCAGGGAGCAATGAAATTTACTAATTCAAAAGATTAGAAAGTGTGTTTACGGTAGAGACTTGAAACTTGATTTGTTGCAACACCTGTTGACTTTGCCGGTGTATTTGCTGCTAAGTAAAGTGCAGAATTTGCGGACGGATGATTGTAGAGGAGAAAGTGATTGATAGGTTTATAAATCTCATTTTTAACGTTAAAAATATCGTTTTGCAATTTTCTTCGTGGATATTTGCAATATCCCGCCGAGATGTCAACCGATTTTTAACTCCTTCTCGACGCTATAATAATCCAGCTATAATAATCTGAACACACGAACACCGTGCTTGAAGCGAACGTGAACGAAAATAGATCGTGTCGATCGATTCTTAAAGTTAATTCTTAAACTCGGCCTATCGAGAACCGAAAAAAAAAAAAAAAAAAACAACAAAGAAACTGATGGATTCCCCCCCCCTCCATCCAATTGGGAGGGATCAGGTAGAGATCTATCGATCCTAAAATAGAAAAAGAGAAATAGAATCGAAGGGAAGGTGTGTTAAATTAAAGTTCGAGTCGAATATGAAAAGGCCTTGGGGGAGGGGGGGGGGGGGGGACTGAAAACACGGTTTGTATCCAGGTCAGATCGGTTTATACACGCGGAATAGAGACACCAGGTTCTAAAATCGGCATCGGGGATCGATCGTGTGTGTGGGGTTTAAAACTGTCCAAGAACGGGTTCGCGTGCATATTTAGCACCGTTGAACAACCGGTATTTCCGTCGATTCTCTGTGATTCTATTTGCCATTTATTAAACGACACATCTCCTCCGCCGATATCTATCCATCTCGATCGGTAATTTTTCTCACTTCGCCCTTCACTTCGGGGGATAATCCGGTTGTCGCGAAATAGAGAAGATACAATCTCGTGTAAACGATCGGAATTTATTTCCTTCGTTCCGATTTAAAATGATCGGGATTTCCGTGCTCGGCGCGAAAATTCGTTCCGCGGCTCAAGTTTTTAAAAGATATCGATATCCCTATTATGTAGAGTATAAATTGTTCTCAATACCCGGAGGAGGAGGAGGAGGAGGAGGAGGAGAGGGACAATTTATTACGTTCGTTCTCGTTCATTATCTTGTTTGTTTGTCCGAGGCTAAACCGAGCGTGCACCGTTTCCCCGATTCAACCCTCGTAAATCAGCGCAGCTTAGCCCAGATTTGTCACCTATCATCGGCACAGATCAACGCTCATCAAGTGTATTCAACACCTTCCTCCGTGAACCACTCTGTTTTTTTTTTTTTTTTTAAGAGGCAGAATTATCATTTTCTTTTTCCGTAGCTCGTTTCATTTCTCTTTATCGATGCTCTCTCTCTCTCTCTCTCTCTCTCTCTAAATAAACAAAATTATTATTATAAGAGTGTAGACGGGATAAGTCGAGTTTCTTTAAATAGGATACAACACGACGCGATTTATTAAAGCCGAGAAAATTAAAAAGGGGAAAAATATTTATTTCTGCAAGTACTAAACGAGATTATCGAATCGAATTATTTAATTGTTAATTGAAAAATATCGGATGCACGATTCGAGAATCGTTATACGCATATTTATTATTCGACTTTCTGAATAATAATTTCTCTGCGAGAGAGCTGAATGCAGGCGAAGAACATCTTCCACGACTCTCTTCTTCTTCTTCTTCTTGCAAAAAGGCGAAATCCGATTCTTATTATACTTTAAATTGGCGCGCCACCGAGTTTGAAATCGTTCGAGAAACTATCGTAAAGATACGAAGACACGTTTCTTGTATAGGTTAGGAAATCATTCGTTTCTATATCGTTTCGTTCTTTTTCACATTACATTAATAAAATATTCGTTGGCGAAGAAACAATGATAAATACAACGTTACAACGAATCTTTTTTTTTTCTTATATAGAGAAAGAAATTATTCCGAATATGGAAATCTGTATTTTACTCGATCAATGGTGGTTCTAATTGTCAACCGAAACGGGACACGGCCGTGTATGATTTTTCCTATCCGAATTTGCATTTTATTTCACGAAACGTAAGCCCACCGTAAATCGTGTCCCTCCTCCCCCCTCCACCCCCTCTTCAACTGTCTTTTTCTCTCATCTCGACTTTTTTTCGTTCGCTCGAGCGTGGTTTCTATCGACTCCCCTCCCCTCCCCCTCCGCCTCTCCCTCCACACACACACAACACAACAAGAGCGTTCGCGTAATTCCTTGAAAATTATTCTGCGGAACGACAATAGAATTTTACATGCAAGTAAAAAAAGGGGGCAACTGTGGAATACATACGTATTAATTCGTACCGCGGTATTGTTGCATTTGCAAAAAACTCGTGTTTCGTTTTCGTTCCGAATTATTTATTCCTTAACCCTTTAACCGGCCTACGCCGTAGTTTTTTCGCGAATTTGTTTTTCTCCCTTTTGTATTTTTCCATTGTTGTTGTTCCACGATTCCTCCTTCTCTCCTCCTCCTCCTCCTCCTCCTCCTCCTCCTCCTCCTCCTCCTCCTCCCTCCTCTCCTCCCCCACTTTTGTTCGGTGGAACAAATGTTTACCGTCCAATAAGGTCTCGTATTATCGTGCGTTGTGTATCAAATTGTCCGATTTTTCACAAACGTAACCGAAACGATTCAACCAATTGCAAACGTTTGAATTTGATTGCCGGTTACAGAAAGAACGTCGGATATTGTGCTTTTCCCTGGAAATAATTGCTCAGTTAAAACGTTAATCGTTTCATGCATCAAACAATTTTCCGTCAAAAGGAGCCTCGAATATCCTCGTTTCGCCTCTTTGAAAATTGTCATTTCAATATTGATCACATCGCACATGAAAATCGTTTTTAATTATAACGAGCATCGAATATCTTATTATTTTCGGGGAGAGGGACGGGGGGGGAGGGGGGGAATAAAAAAAAAAAGACGTTCTGACGTATCCGGTGGAAAGAGTTATCAAAAAAATCTGCGCGAACGATACTTGCCATATATATATATATAAATACAAACAAAATTCGTTATTTCCAGCAAAAGGATATGGATATTGCAATAATTGTGAAAGAAAGTGGACACGAAACGAAAATATGATTAACATATATAGAATGGATGATTCAAATTAAGGAAAAAATGTTTACTCTTCTTAAATTAAACACTTTTCGAGTCATACATAGGTTATGTATACTTTTCCTTTCTTCTCAACACGATACAATCAAAAATAGTAGTATATCTGGAGTGTCTTCATCCCAATAGAATAAAATTCGTTTTATCGTCTTCGAATCGTATCGAAATATCGTATCAGCTAATGGCTAAGCATTATTTCAAAGTGTCAATCAATAAAATCTTCCTCTTCGGAAAGTATATCTTTTGCACGATGTAAACACGAGAAAAGCGCGCCAAGTTTGAAACGCTCCGGCGTACCGTGCCATACCGTGGCGGAAAAATAACACGCGATGCGAAGGTAAATATTTGTTCATGTTAATCGTTTTAATAAATCAATCCACCTATGCAAATCTCTTAGAGAATAATTGAATTCAAAAAATCGTCCGACATCGATCGATTTGCATAACCAGCATAAAGATCGAACGGAAGCAGCACGCGTCTCTCTCTTTCTCGCTGGACAAAAAAAAAAAAAAGAATAACGAGCGAGCATCGTTCAAAGAAGGAAAAGGACGCGACGCATCGTGAAACATCTGGAAGCAGCTGGTGTTTCTGGAAAGCGAATGGTGGTAGTAGCAGTATCGCGATCGCGGAAGAATGGGTTTCTTCCCATGGAGGAGGCCGAAGAACTCTCAAGTACGAAAGAGTGTCTGGCTCTCGGCCCCGCCCAGTCAATAGCCTGAATATTTAATGTTAGAAGTTCCGTATTGATTTTCGCGATTTTTACGTCTCCGCAAATAAGGCCGTAAAAGACCTTACGCCGCCTCGTGTCTGTTTCTTACACGTACCCACACAGCCACGCCAAGCGAGTGTTGCTTTATATACGTATATACCACACGCGTATACAC